CATTATAACGCCCCCACAGCTGAAAGGGCGAGCATGTTTGGTGGGACGGGGATTTGAATCCGTGACCCGCAGATTGCGAGTCGAGCGCTCTGACCACCTGGCCATGCCAGGCCGCCTTAAATTGGAGCGCAATTTTGTGGCAGTGGGACGCAAACCACAGACCCCGAATTTCACATTCTTGCCACACTAACCACAAGGCCACTCCCGGTCTAGCAACAAAAGATAAAGTTATAACATTATTGTACTTTACCGTTAACTTTGACCTTAGGTTACTATGAAATATGCTTGACCACAATCTATAACATATCCCTGCGAATAGCCAGTATTGAAGAAGAGCGAAGTCTTTTGCTGACACTTAAGTTATTTGCTGTCGTCACTGTTTACACATGTGGTAAATAGCAAGGATTTAGAAACGTTTAATTGGTTCTGCTTGAAACCTATTTTTAACTGGCGTATTTTACATTAATAATTTCATTCCCTTTTGTAACAAATTTAAACACTTTATAGAACTTGAAATATAACTTCTGTGTTATAGTTTATGCCAAGGTATTGTAATACAAATAATATAACCACGTTCTTAGACTCACAGTTCAAATACTTTAATTCATTTTTAGATTTAACACATCAAACAAGCGATATCTCACAACCAGAAGAAATCCAAATGGCCCTCTACTATTAAGATCGGATAACTAAATTACAAGTCTGTATGCTAACAATTACATCCTGGGACCTTTCGCAGACATAATCAATGTTTCTTTATTTACATATCGGGTTATTATGTACGGTTTATGGGCATATAGTCATCTTGTATTCATAGGTATATCTGTAATGAAGGTCTACTGAGACCAAGAATATCATCGTAATTTACAAAGTAGGCCTAAGTACGAGCTCCAGTGTTCCGAAGCTTCTTTTTACAAAATGAAATTAAAGTATCACTTCTTAGTGTATTTAAGTGTTATTGAAACTGGAAGCAATATTAATTTTATATTTTAATAAAATACAATAAAAGATAATCATATAATTTTCATTCCTTACCAAACTGCTAGACTGTGATGTGTCATCGAGGAACGAATTATGGACATTCTTGGCGGCAAGATTTCCGTTTTTTTCGTTCCACGCCTTTTTTCATCGACTCCGTGGTTTTTGTTGCAAAATTTACTTTCTCTGTTTCATGTTTCTCTTTCCCCTACCAAACTATCTTTTTCTGTTCCATATTTCCTCTTTTTGTCACGAAACCCTCTTTTTTTGTTGTTGTTCGTATTTTCTTTTTATTATAGAACTTACTTCCTGTATTCTATGTTTTTATTTTGTTATAAAACTTTCGCGGTTCTATTTTTTTTTCTTTGTTGTTTATAATTTATTTTCTTCTCCCGTGTTTTTCTTTTTATTATAAAACGTACTTTCTCTGTTATGTTCTTTTTATTATAAAACTTAGTTTTGTGTTATGTTCTTTTTGTTATAAAACTTAGTTTTATGTTATGTTCTTTTTGTTATACTTATTTTCTCTATTTCATATTTTTTATCTGTCAGAAAGTTTATGATTTGGGTTTTTTTTCATTTCTCTTTTTTTTTATTTTAAGCAATGCTCAATCTAGTTTTTATTTCGAGTCATACATTTGAAACATGGCTTTAGCGATAGTTTTCTGGTAAATTTCTTTCTGTTTGTCTTTCATAATATTTATGTTATCCTATATTGCTTCACGAATTTATGATTGTAGCATAAATTTAGTGACTACTTTAATTCTTAATATTAATTGCATATTTCGAGTGTGTGTGAAAGTTTTTCTTTTTTTTAATACAACAACATTATGATACAGTTAGGCTCAAACCAGGCGTTTAGCCTAACTTATAAACTACTTCTTTACATCAATATAAATTAAATTAATAGTAATTAAGTACAGTGCTATACGCTTTTAGTGTATATTCAGATATATATATTTAGACACACATTATTTATAAGTACTTGTTTTTGCAGTCGGGTTATTCTCCTCTCCACCAGGCGGCGAAAGAAGGACATTTAGAAATAGTGAATTTTTTATTGAAAAACGGAAGTCACGTGAATATTCAGGAAGAGGTGATGAGTTTACAAACTATATTTAAACCTAAAGACATTAAATAATCGATATGTTTTTATATAATACTATTTTTAAGTGTTTACACAGCCAACATTACTATGTCTAATTTCTCAGACATTACAGCTCACACTCAAGAGAACAGAACCAGAAAAAATAATAGAACATTAGTTCCACTGGTTAATTCTATTAACTTTACTCTCCTGGCATAGTTTTTTGTTTTCGTTACTCGAAAATACGACAGTGGCGCTACTTGATAGTGGAACTTTGATTGTTGAAACATTTAACCCTAGAATAACTAACAGAGTTCATGGCTCCCATTGACTTTTTAATGTAGACGCCGGAGACTGGGGGGCACTTTTTAAAAAGAGGGGCTCAACCCTCCCACTTTTAACAACAAGAGGAAGAATTTTTAACTAAACTTTTTAACAATGTATGCTTGGAGATTGTTGTAACTTTACGCATTTCTGTCTTTGTACCGTCTATTGACAAGTTGTTCAGTACTAACGTCTTTGTACCGTACCGTCTATTGACAAGTTGTTCTGTACTAACGTCTTTGTACCGTCTATTGACAAGTTGTTCAGTACTAACGTCTTTGTACCGTCTATTGACAAGTTGTTCTGTACTAACGTCTTTGTACCGTCTATTGACAAGTTGTTCTGT